ACATCACTGCTTCCAACTGCTACATCCAAGGCCTCAGAGCTGTGACAGGTAATAGAATCGCAGCAAAAAATAATAATAATAATGAAAAAAAAAAAGGAATGAAACTGAAGGCAGGCACTGGAAGAGAGCCCCATCTGTTTCCAGGCTGAAGGGTAATAGGCAAACAAGCCGCTGGGGGGGACACAGGGATGCAGCACTCACCAGCACAGGCACAACAAACAGCCCAATTATAACTGTGCACTTAGAGGCTTGTAAGAGGTAGGGGAAAGAAAAAAGTAATCAATAATGTTAATTTAATGGAGTTACAGGCTTCATGGTACTGGAGTTCACTGTAACAGAGCTACCGACTCCACAGGGGCAGCACAAAGTCCTCGCTGGGATGGGCCTTGAGCCAAGCGGCACCCGCACGGCACCCGCGGAGCCCGGCAGCCATCCTGTGCGCTGGACAGCTGGATGCTCCCGGTGCCCATCGCGGGCACAGAGCACCCAGGATGCTCCCGGCAATGGACACCGCTGCACCTGGGATGCTGCCAGCACCCATCATGGACATGGAGTCCCTGGGATGTTCCCAGCAGCAGACACTGCTGCACCTGGGATGTGCCCACCGTGGGCACAGGTGCCTGGGATGCTCCCAGCACGCCGCACCATTCTCTTTAGGAGTGAGGAAAGAGGCAAGGGGAAAGAGCGACAGATGTAAAATTAACTTGCCAAACTCCTCGTCAATATTATGACTATTCCCTGCGTCGGGGCGGTGCCCGGCACGCTGCTGGCGCTTGCATAGCTTCATGCAGACAGTGTGCATGAAGAGCCCCCGTCTGGCATCAATCACCACCGTGGGCTGCAGGAGCAGCCAGGGGCTCCCCTGGCCCAGGGGCACAGGGCACCTCGTGCCAGGGACGGGGCTGAGCAGACGCAGACAGCTCTGCTGTGCTGCAGCGCTACACCCGGGAGCTGCCGTGGGAGCCAGAGCAGGAGGCTGGGATGGGAACAGACGACGTTTCGGACACGGATGCCCTCCGGGGAGCACTCGGCCTCACCGCGACCGCTCACCGCCCCGACAGCCCCTTCACCAGCAGCAAGGACCCGGCAAGCAAAGCCAGCACCATGGGTAGTAATTGGGGCTTGCTACATATTAATGGCATAAAAGCAACAGGCTGAAACTGCAAACAGCTTTTAAAGCAAAAATCTCTATTTCCAGAGGGCGGAGGGGGGAGAGGGGGTGGGCAGAGAGATGGCACAGAGCAGATAAGGGACTAACAAAGAAGCCAAGTCATTTGGCAGATGATCCCCCGCGGCCTGGGCCGGGTGCGGAGGGGAATCGCCCTCATCCCGGCTCCGGCACTGCGCGTCTGTGCCCGGGAGAGCTCTGCTGCTGTCCTGTTTATTGAGCAATGGGCCACAGCACTGCGACAGAAGGACAAAGATTTTTTTTTTTTTTAAAAAAAAGGAGGAGGAAAAAGGAAAGGCAGGGCAGGGGGGAAAAATAGAAGGAAGGAAGGAATCGGGTGGCTCTGCCTGCCCTGCCTGTGCAATGAGGGAGCTTCAGGGGTAGGCGCCAGGTGGATTTCAGGAGCACAATTAAGGAGCCCTCATCTGCTCCCAGGCAGAATATATGGCAGGAAACCTGCCCCAGGAAGGGCACCAAGTTTTCACAGGAAAGGAAAAGTCGTGTTTTGAATCGTGGCTCCAGCTTGCACCTCCACCACAGCAGTGATGATTAACAGCTATTGAGCCACCTTGGTATTAAAATACACACAGCAGAGTTCGAGCTTAGTTCTGGCTTTGTTGACACTGATGTGGGGGAAAAATGTGCTTGGTACCTGAAAAGCTCCCTGGAAGGGACGTGCAAGAGGGCCGGGCTGCAGGGTGCAATGCAACGGTGCGTGCGACGCCGCAGACACCAACATCAACTGCACTGGCCGCTGCCCGTCACGAGCACGCGGCCACAGCTGCTCTGCTGGCCAGCTTTCCTCCCTGCACCCATCTCCTGGGATTCCCACCCGGGATTCACCACCTCCCAGGGAACACACGGCCCCGGCTCCATCCCCACAGCACGCCGGGCAGAAGGACGAGCTAGGAGGGCAGGGGCTGAGGCTTTAATCTACATCGTGACCTGTCGGGTGGCAAAGGGCCCGTCCCAAGCCCAACAGGACGGGGCCGCTGCCTCGTGTGCCACGTGAGACACGGCTCTCACTGGCACAAAGGCTCCCGCTGCCACAGCCAGAGCGACAGCCTATTTATCAAAGACACTGAAGATGCGGCCACATGGGAAGCAGACACCACTCAAAGGACTGTCACATCTGCATAGCTAAAGGATCCCAGTGGTTATAAATCCCTCTAAAATACTCAGCCCCTTGTTCTGATAGCAGGTTCTTGCTCCTACTTTGCAGAAACAGGCTTTTAATCCCTGGTATTAGGCGGCTTCCTGCTATGTTTCAAATGCACCAAATTAAGGCCTTCTCTAACAGCTGCTGTCTTAATGCTCAGAGAGGTTCTTGAATATCTATGAAAATCAGAGGCAAATTACATCTTTTAGTTAATAATTTCTTCTCCATTAACCTCCTCCTCTTGCCTTGTTAGAGGATGATGTAGCAGTGCCTCTGCATCGTCACCTCCCGGCAGCATCGGCGGCCGGGGGCCTCAAAGCGAACGGTCCAACTTCCAAGGAGCAGCAAAGGCAGCAGCGAGGTTGCAGCAAGCGCTTCTGAAGTGCGACGTGCCATCCCGCTCCGGGCTGGGGCTCCCCCGAGCACGCACGTCACGCTGCACGCGGGTACGTGACACCCCGCGTCCCTACGACAGGAGCTTCACCCGCGCGCCCAAGCCTTCCCCTTGCGAGACCCGGCCCGTGCTCTCTGCGCTGATTCTCTCTCGTGTTCGAGTCCCTCCTGCCAGCTCCGCTGCCCTCTCGCCCACCCACGCGTGCTGCCCTTTTGCAGCTCGCTCTCACACCGAAGCTCTTCCTCCCACCCCTCGCAGTGGCTCGGGCCAGGACTGGTTTCAGGGCTCATGCTGGGCAGTGCAAACCCTGTTGGCCGCAGCAACACCATGCAGAGGACCCGGCTCTGTCTGTGCTGAGCCTCGCTGGCCAAAGCATCAATTAGCTGGAGGGAGGAGGGAGACACAGCAGCTCCCCATGCAGAGAGGCAGCGTGGGGCTAGCCCCTAAACCCTCCCTCTGGAGAGCCGCCTCTGCCAGGACAATCCAAACCCTGGGCACCCCACCCACTTCCTGGCCGC